AACCTTTTCCATTATAGTCATATGCTTGACTAGATATGGACTCCATGATGGAGCTGCATACTCCAGGATTGGTCTAACATATGTGGTATACAAAGTCCTGAATGATTCCTTGCACAAGTTTCTAAAGGCCATTCTTATGTTGGCAACCTGGCATATACTGCTGATGTTATCCTCTTGATAAAGAGGATAACCTCCTCTCTTCAGGGGACAGGTCTGGCGTGATATGAAACCCCAGGTCTTTCTCTCTCTCTGATTCTTGAAGAATTTAATTTCCCAAATGATACCTTGTATCTGGCCTCTTGCTCCCTATACCTATTTTCATTACATTACATTTGCTTGGGTTAAACTCTAACAACCATTTGTTTGACCATTCCTTCAGTTTGTCCAGGTCTTCTTGAAGTCTCAAGTAGTTCTCCTCTGTCTTAATCCTTCTCGTAATTTTGGCATAGTCAGCAAACATTGAGAGGAATGAGTCTATACCTTCTGGGAGATCATTTACATATATCAAAAACAGGATAGGTCCGAGTACAGAGCCCTGTGGGACTCCACTGGTGACTTCACGCCAATCTGAGGTCTCGCCCCTCACTGTAACTCTGCTTCCTATTGCTTAGGTACTCCCTTATCCACTGGAGCACCCTACCAGTCTCCTGCCTGTTTCTCTAGCTTATGCACCAGCCTCTTATGGGGTACTGTGTCAAAGGCTTTCCTGACAGTCCAAGAAAATGCAGTCCGCCCATCTTCTCTTTCTTGCTTAATCTTTGTCACCTGATCGTAGAATTCTATTAAGCCAGTAAGGCAAGATTTACCCTCCCTGAACCCATGTTGATAGGTTATCACAAAGTCCCTTCTCTTCAGATGTGTTACTAGGTTTTTTCTCATGATGATCTCCATCACCTTGCATGGTATACAAGTCAAGGACACTGGCCTGAAGTTCAGTGCCTCTTGTCTGTCACCATTTTTGTATATTGGGACTACATTAGCCATCTTCCATATTTCTGGTAGGTCTCCAGTGACCTACTATACACTATGAAGGGTGGCAAGCAAAGTGCTTCTACACACTCTTTCAATGGTGAAATTCCGTCTCGACCAAAAGCCTTTCTCACGTCCAGATCCAACAGATCTGGACTTCAGTGTGTTAAAAGGACCATACAAACTTTACATTTTAACCTCTTATGATAAATTTGTTACTGGTGCTACAATAAGATCATTTTGATAAGGATATTCTGCAATGCCTGACAGCTGTTCTGAATAGATAAGATAAAACTGTCTTGCATGAGCCACCTGATAAGGAATTCTCTTTGTCATGTGCATGGTACAGTGGATGGTGTTGAGTCACCTTGTCAGGTAAAGCACAATTGGGTCTGTCCAGCAACCGACAGCCTTGATCTTAGCAAAGAAACTCGACTAAACCCAACAGGCTTCCTGTTCCCAGCAAAGATATACTGTATTGTATAGATATGCAATAATAATAATAATAACAACTTTAAACATTCTCGTGTTTGTCATTATTTTTAACTCCTTAATTACACAGTTATCATTAACCCTTAAACCGCGCAATACATTAATAGATGATTTCAGTAACAAAACCGAAACCACGCAACACATTAATAGATGATTTCGTGTCTGGCGCTATTATTTAAATGCCTCGCGTGGGATAGGAGTAGTCATCGGCGAGCCGCATCTGACCATAAACAAATGCCACCTGGGGAAAAAAATCCTGTGTAAGCCGCCATTGTGTAGAGGCCTCGGTTACCCAGCGGACACCATGGCGAGCGAATAAAGTTCTAACGACCGACTCCGTTCAACAAGGCGTTCCTTGCGACCTCTGACCGAGGATGAAATTAATAAGAAATTCCCAGATGGTGATGAATCTGATATTGACGACTCTGACTTTGATCTTGACTACACACAGCCCTCAGAGGAGGATACGACCGACGACGAGTGTGAACATGCTGGCTTCACCAGGGCTAGGCCTAGCATCTCGCCCATGCCTCCTCACCCTCACTCGACTCCACCTCATGCCAGACCCCACAGTTCATGTGCTATCTTGCAGGATATTGATGTTTTGTTCGACGAGTCTGAGGAAGGTGAATCATTTGCCGGTTTTAGCGACTTAGAATCGGAAAATAGTTTCGGTGCTGGTGCCAGTGGAGTGCATGGTGTTGCCAAGCGACATTTTGTCTCGTCAGCAGCATCTGGCCCAGCCATGCAGCAAATAACTGATATTTTTTATTTCTGATATTGCCACTCTTTGTGGCAAATCCAGCCTGACAGCTGGCGATCAACAGACCGCCTGGGACGCACGCTCAGTCGGTGCCTATTTTTTGCCACACTTCCCTGCCCTATAGCGGCCAATATATGCCACTTACGATTTTTTTATTATTTTTTATTATCTGTACGTCCTGCCGGACGTACAGGCACCTAGAGGTGGACCTCTTCGCATCGACTTGGTCGAGGCATCTTTCAGTGTATGTGGCGTCCTTCCCAAACTGCGAAGCTGGCGGGGTCGATGCCTTTTGGCTGGACTGGTCGAGTTGGGGTTACCTGTACCTCTTCCCACCAGTTCGTTTGTTGCTCCGGGTCCTGGTTAGCTTAGAGAGACTTCCAGGGATGAGTAGTCCTGTTGGCTCTATGGTGGCCGGCCCAGCCCTGGTTTCAGGCACTTCTTGCTCAATGTCCAAACCCGAGGGTCTTCCTGCGGCTCCGCCTCTTTCAGCAGATCGGTCTATTCCGGTACGTGGCTGGATCGATGTTCTCTGCTTCTCGTGTCTGGTCCTTTTGATGTGGGTTTATCACCACTTGTGTGGTGATCAGATGGTTTAGTTGGTGTCCAACCTGCAAGTTTCTTCTCGATGACAGTATGAAATTTCCTGGCGGTCTTTTCGGCACTTATCTCTTCATAGGTTGTCTTTGATATCTGGTCAATTTTGTCCTTTCTCTGTTGTTAGTTTCAGGACAGTCTTCTTATGCCAGATACTGTCGCATCATTTCGGTTGGTACTGGCGGAGCCGCTGCAGCTTGCAATGGATGTCACTTCTGCTCCATTCTGCAAGGTTTCTCGGGTGTTGTTTTCACCTCCGGTCTGCTCATGTGCCGCCTGAGCTGTCCTGGTTGTTGCACCGGGTGCCCTCTTCTCCCTTCTCCATGGTTTGGGGTGGCCCCTTCGGTTCATGACTTTTTTTTTCTATGGCTCTTTTTCTTGTTGGCATTGGCCTCTGGGGGTCGGGTCGGAGAGTTTCATGCTCTCCTCCGGTGCAGAGGTTTCTGCTCTTTCAGTCCTGGTGGTTTTTTCCTCATTTACAGCCGTTTCCTTTTTTTCTGGCAAAGAATGAGTCTGCTGCTTTCCGAAGGGGTCCTTGGGTTGTTGATGCTTGGTTGGTTCGGCGGGGGGTGCATCATGTTTTGTGTCTGTGGCTCTTCGCCGTTATTTGCGAGTTATGGTCTCTGTGGCAGGGGACGTGTTTTGGGTTGACCCAGTTTCCCTTCTTCCCTATTCCAGGGCACAGGTCTCCCAGGTTGTCCGCAGTATTATTCGGTCCAGCCAGCCTGCGGTCTTTCCTCGTGCCCACGCCGTTTGTTAGTTTGGCATTCGGCTGCAGTTTTGGTAATGTCCTGGCCTATATTTTGGGCATGGGACTATTGGAGGTCGAACAGAGTCCTGGGTGTACGTTACCTTCTTAATGTTCCTAGTTTTCCTAGTCCGTCTTGGGCGTGTATGCCCTTGGGTCGCAGGTTGCGGCCTGCTGTCTCGACTTTGAGTTGAGGAGTGAGTGACGACTGCCTCCTGGGTGAGTCCCTTTTCTTCTTATCTTTGGTTAGATAGTTCCGGGGATCCGAAGGGACTCTTCACAGAAAACCAGCATTGAATGTAATGAAACGCTATTATCTGGGTGAGACCCGGAGGCTCCCCGGCATCCCTCCCTCCATCCGGTCGGCAGTTTTTTGCGTTTTTGATATTCAGCCTCTGAACTGAGGAGAGTTGCCGGTGTGGAGGTCTGGGACCTCCTGTCCCCCTCACGGGGAGGGGGGGGGGTTGTGCAGACGGATGCATGGCGGTTGTGGTGACGTCATGTTTGTTTCCTTGTTTTTGATTGGGGAGTTCTGTTTGCTAGTTCAGCTTTCAGTTTGCAATTTTTGACCAGCAGTAGTTTGTTTTGAAATTCCTACCTTTCTGGGTGCCTGACCTGGCAGATGGCAGACAAAGACTGCTTCCAATTACACTGAGGTGTCTTTTGGCCATTGCTCCTCGTGCCTTTCTTGAGGGGGACAGGTTCTGGCTCTGGTCTCTGGTAGGCTTAGAACTCCATCGATTGACTGTTGCCACGGTCTAATATATACACATCAGCCCGGTATAGCTCGGGGAAGCCTCCGGGTCTCACCCAGAAAATGGCGTTTTATTACATTCATCGCTGGGTTTTTGGTCCTGTGTTTCCTTCCGAGTTGTATGCAGTTGTAAAAACGTTTTCTTGAAACATAGTAGAATACCTGATGATTGCATGATTCACAGTAGAATCCTTGAACCTTGAGGGACTCGCTGCACGTGGGCCTCGTGAAACATGCATATAAAAATACATAAAGATGTATATCAATAGCATTTTATATCACAAGTAGTTGAAGAAGTGGCCCACAACAGTCTATACAAGGCAGTTTACATCTGCAGTGAGTTAGCTACACAGTTACAAATCCTGCTCCACACCCACCCAGCTGGGTTGCAACTTTACAGGATTTGTGGTGGTTAGTCTTTTGCGTATTTTGATGTCAATACAATAATGTAGTGTATTATTTGATTAGGCAGGTTGGCCTCCTATGCCTTCATTATGTTACATTTTAATTTATATAGCTAAGCTTTATACATTTTATTTTAATTCATTGATTTTATTCCTAGTGGTTAAGTTGGTTTTATTGTTCTTGGAGTGAATGATTTATGTTTTGTCACTAAAGGTGTTTATCAATCATTCTCCTGTTTCATTGTTTTGCTAATAGTATTTTTCTTTGTCCAGGCTGGCATTATGGAAGGTGCACTGATCATGGCAGTGGTTGGTTATCTCAGTGTAGCTGCCATGCTTATGCTTATTGACTGCAAGTATGCTATTCTTACATCAGGTGGCAGGGCTGGTGGTCGATCAATCATTATGGATACAAAGGTATGCTGCTCCTGGAGTCACGTGTGGCAATGCTTCCAATATGTTTTAGTCAATATTTCTAATGCTCTAAAATTTACCTTTATGATCATATCTGCTATGAAAGTTGATTCTGTACACCTGTATTTAGAAACGTTATTTTTAATGCTTGATAGTTTTTAGCAACAATATTTATTTAAAATGGTATTTAAAATATTTTTCACAATGTACAATATGTACTTTTATTTAATTTTACATAGCATATATTGTGCTGTAAAAAAATTGTGCTTCAAAAATCTATATCTTGTGATACTTCTGTACTAGATTCCACTCATTCCACCGGACTCATCAGATGATGGGGATGAAGATGATGATGAGCGCCATCCTCCCACCCCATCAACAGATCTGACCTATGGGGATGTAGGACTTTATGCCCTCGGCCCAGGTGGCAAGAGACTAGTAGACATAGCAATTGTTGTGTCCCAAGTTGGTAAGGAACATCAGGGGTATGATTGGTCTGAATACAAGAATTTGTGTGAAGGATGTTGCCATAGATAATCGTACAGAAATTGGTAATTACCCTAGTGTAGTTACAGGATGAGAGCTATGCTCGTGGTGTTCCATAATCCTTGTGATCTTTGTCATGTTATGCTTCAAAATTTCTGATGGCTTTGGTAACTTCCACCTCATTTAAATTTTAAATACCACCTCTTTTTCATTTTAAATACACCAAACACCCACAACTCTGTGGGTGTTTAGTAAATGGCATTAGCCATTTAGCTACACCAAAGAATGTAGTTTAGAAGATGTTGGTATAGTGGTACCTCGGAATACGAGTGTCCCTGTATATGCGTTTTTCGGAATACTGTACGAGCCGGTTTTGCTCGGAAAATTTACATCGGAATACGAGCGTTGCCTCGGACGACGAGGGTGTTGATTTGCTTACAGGCTGACTAGCGCGTGGTGGCAAGGCGATTCACACCTCAGTTTACCAATGCCTCGCACCCAGTGACTATCCTGCCTGAATTCTTCACAAGGATTTACAGTTTTTTGTTGGATTTTTGGCCATTTGAGCATAAAAAGTTATTATATATCTTAATGGGTCCCAAGAAAGCTAGTGGTAAGGTTCAACCTAAGAAAATTATTGTGAGTAGAGGCAGTAGAGGATGTCTCTTCTTCATTAAGAAAATGTGTGAAGTATGGGAAGAACTGCAAAGTTTTGTTGAAAAAACTCACCCAGATAAAGCTGTAGCAGGCCATTGCATTGACCTTTTAAATGACAATGTGATGTCTTACTACAGACAAGTGTTAAAATATAGAGAAAACAAGTGTCTTAGGCCGATTCTTAGTAAGACAAGCAAGCAGTGAGCCACAAGCAGGTCCTAGTGGTATGCAGGCAAAACGTGCCAGAGAGTGCACACCAGTGAAGTCCTCACTGCCTGATGTTATAATGGAAGGGGGGGGGGACTCCCCTTCCAAACAGTAACACCTCTTCTCCTCCCTCCTCCTCACCATCTTCCTTACGCCAACAGCAGTCATCAGCAAGGGTAAGTAATAACTTGAACATACTTTTGTAGATTTAGATGAATTAGGTATAAAATTTAGTTTGAAGTGAGGTTTTTGGGTAGTCAGGAACAGATTAATTCATTTCCCATTATTTCTTATGGGGAAATTAGCTTCGGTTTACAAGGACTGCCGAACATCAACACTCCAACACTTTACCGTCACATTTCATGGGGGCCCTGTCCAAGGAGCTTCACTCAGGTACTAGTACCAGACCGTAAATTTGTGGTAAGTGTACTTGACTTTGGTACAGTAGCTTTTCACTATTTTCAATATTCAATTTTATTTTCATATGGTGCTGTGTGTATTGTGCATTCCGAGAGTAGCATATGGTGAGTAATTACCTAAGTGTAGTTACAGGATGAGAGCTACGCTCGTGGTGTCCCGTCTTCCCAGCACTCTTTGTCATATAACGCTTTGAAACTACTGACTGTCTTGGCCTCCACCACCTTCTCACTTAACTTGTTCCAACCGTCTACCACTCTATTTGCGAAGGTGAATTTTCTTATATTTCTTCGGCATCTGTGTTTAGCTAGTTTAAATCTATGACCTCTTGTTCTTGAAGTGCCAGGTCTCAGGAAATCTTCCCTGTCGATTTTATCAATTCCTGTTACTATTTTGTATGTAGTGATCATATCACCTCTTTTTCTTCTGTCTTCTAGTTTTGGCATGTTTAATGCTTCCAACCTCTCCTCGTAGCTCTTGCCCTTCAGTTCTGGGAGCCACTTCGTAGCATGTCTTTGCACCTTTTCCAGTTTGTTGATGTGCTTCTTAAGATATGGGCACCACACAACAACTGCATATTCTAGCTTTGGCCTAACAAAAGTCATGAACAATTTCTTTAGTATATCGCTATCCATGTATTTAAATGCAATTCTGAAGTTAGAAAGCATAGCATAGGCTCCTTGCACAATATTCTTTATGTGGTCCTCAGGTGATAGTTTTCTATCTAGAACCACCCCTAGATCTCTTTCTTTATCAGAATTCTTTAAAGATTTCTCACATAATATATAGGTTGTATGGGGTCTATGTTCTCCTATTCCACATTCCATAACATGACATTTATTAACATCAAATTCCATTTGCCAGGTGGTGCTCCATATACTTATTTTGTCCAGGTCTTCTTGAAGGGCATGACAATCATCTAAATTTCTTATCCTTCCAATTATCTTAGCATCATCAGCAAACATGTTCATATAATTCTGTATACCAACTGGTAGATCATTTATGTACACAATAAACATCACTGGTGCAAGAACTGAACCCTGTGGTACTCTACTTGTGACATTTCTCCATTCCGATACATTGCCTCTGATCACTGCCCTCATTTTTCTATCAGTCAGAAAATTTTTCATCCATGATAGAAGCTTACCTGTCACCCCTCCAATATTTTCCAGTTTCCAGAACAACCTCTTATGTGGAACTCTGTCGAAAGCCTTTTTTAGGTCCAGATAGATGCAGTCAACCCAACCATCTCTTTCCTGTAATATCTCTGTGGCTCGATCATAGAAACTGAGTAAATTCGATACACAGGATCTTCCAGATCGAAAACCATACTGTCTGTCTGATATTATATCATTTCTCTCCAGGTGTTCTACCCATTTAATTTTGATTAGCTTTTCCAATACTTTCACTATTACACTCGTCAATGATACAGGTCTATAATTGAGGGGGGTCTTCCCTGCTGCCACTTTTGTAGATTGGAACTATGTTAGCCTGTTTCCACACATCTGCTACGATTCCTGTACACAGTGATGCCTGAAAGATCAGGTGAAGTGGAATGCTGAGCTCAGATGCACATTCTCTCAGAACCCATGGTGAAACGCCATCTGGGCCAGCTGCTTTGTTCTTACCGAGCTCCTTTAGCATATTTTCCACTTCATCTCTAGACACACCTATCCGCTCTAAGTTGTTCTCTGGAATTCTTATTGTGTCTGGTTCTCTGAAGATTTCATTTTGTACAAACACACTTTGGAACTTTTCATTTAATGTTTCACACATTTCCTTTTCATTTTCCGTGAATCTGTTTCCCATTTTCAACCTCTGGATATTATCCTTTACCTGCAATTTGTTGTTTATGAATTTGTAGAATAGGCCCGGTTCTGTTTTACATTTATCTGCTATCCCTTTTTCAAAATTTCTTTCTGCCTCTCTCCTTACTGCTGTATAGTTGTTTCCCGCATCTTTGTATCGCTGGTATGTTTGGGGGTTTGGCCTCTTCCTATACTGATTCCATTTTTGTGTCTTTTGGTCTCTTGCCCTCTCACAATTTGTCGAACCAATCCTGTTTTCTGGCCCTGCATCTCTGTTTTGGTATGAATGTTTGTGTGCCTTCCTCGTATAGTTTTAAAAATTTGGCATACATTTCTTTACTTCACTGACTAGCAACAATTCTGTCCAATTACACTCATTAAAAAAATTTTGAAGTTCCCCATAGTTGCCTCTCCTTAAATCGAGTTTATCAACTGTTTCAATGTCCCCATTTTCTTCTAGATGATATCTTAAAGCATATTTAATGTCTAACAGGACGTGATCACTCTTTCCCAAGGGAGGAAGGTACTGGATGTCAAAAATCTCTTCTTCTTTCCTGGTGAATACTAGATCCAGTACTGACGGTACATCTCCTTCCCTCATTCTTGTGGCCTGCTTTATGTGTTGATACAAGAATGTCTCCAGAATGAGGTTCACAAATCTGCATGTCCAAAAGTCCTCCGTTCTTGCTTCATAGGCCTCCCAGTCTATTGCTCTAAAGTTGAAGTCCCTCAGTATCAACAGTCGTGATTTATCTTTATCTGCTTGTACAATAATATCTCTCATGACCATTATGAGGCCCTCTCATTTGTCATCTAGTTCTTCCTTTGTCCATGTGTTGCTTGCTGGTGGGCTGTAGGTATTTACAATTATCAGCTTATCATCCTGATTCCAGACCTGCAATGCCATTATGTCAATATCTCGAGGGTTTTCAAATATTAACTCTTTTTACCTTCAGGTGTTTTTTCACCAGTACAGCCACTCCTCCTCCCTTCCTAGTTTTCCTGTCACGTATCCAAACTGAATAGCCTCTTGGGAATATGACTTCATATATTATATTTCCTTCAAGTTTCGTCTCTGATAATGCAACAGTATCTGGGACCCTAAGCTGGATTATATCTTGCAACTCCAAAGTTTTTGACCTCACTCCATCAATGTTTGTATATACAATTTTCAGGAACATGTTCCCTTTTCCTTTGCTCTTTACTCCCCCTTCCACTACTGATCTTGTTGCTTTGTTTTTATGTACCATTTCACAAGCTTTCCAGTCCCTGTCACTTTGTAAAAAAAAGATTTTCTGTCTTCTTCATTTCTATCCCCATTTAGACGTTTTGCCTCAATTAGGTTCATTTTCAGCTTTTCTCTGTCTTCCTTGGAGAGGTCTTGTCTTATTGACCAAAGTTTGCCAACCTCATCACTCTGCAGTTTCCTGGCATTTCTTAGCACTTCCATCATGTTTTTCACTCCATTAAACGTCACCCTTAAGGGGCGGTTCTTTTCTTTCTCATATTTTCCTATTCTTCTAAAATCACTGACATTTTCCTTTGAGCCTTCTCCTAAACCTACTATTTTCTCTATGATTTTCATCTCTTCTGCCACTCGGTCCACCCTAGATGAAATTTCCTTCTCTAAACATCCAAAAATGATTATGGACTTAGTTCTATCTGCAGTGTTTTGTACCAGTTTACTGTTGGTAACCAGTTCTTTCCTAATTGCTTGCCTAATTTCTGCTTCGTGTTGGTCATTTCTGGTTTTGACTTCCGAACACACTTCTTTGATAGTCTCTTTCTCTTTTACAACTTCAGCATATGTCGCTTTTATTTCATCTTTATACTTTTCTAGTTCTTTATTCACCTCCTCTATGTGAGTTGTCAGTGAAGTTTCCAGTTGGAGATC